GGCAGTGGATACTAAATACATTATGCAGAAATTATAAACAGCACTTCTACTCCCCAGAGTTGGCCAGTTTGAGTCAGTAACCCACTTAGCAACTCGTGCTAACATATAAATCATTTCAAAGTCACTGTATATTCTCACCAAAAGCTGCAGGGTATATTTGCTTGAATACAAATTATATTCAGTGTCCTGTTGGTCCAATGGTGTTATAAAACCCATGAGAATCTTCTAGGTAAGAATGCCCACTATCACCTCTCTTATTCAATATTGTTTTGGAAGTCTTAGTGATAGCAATAAGACAAGAGAAGGGAATAAAAGGTATCCAAATTGACAACAAGGAAGTAAAATTATCCCTCTACGTGGATAACATGATAGTATACCTAGAAAACCCTAAAAACTCAGCAAGAAAACTATTGGACACAGTGACCAATTTAGCAAAGTGGCAGGATACAAGATCAACATACAAAAATCAGTTGGATTTCTCTACAGTGACAAAGAGAATACAGAGCCTGAACTAGAAAAACTATACCTTTCACAATAGCTAATCACAAGATTAAATACTTGGGAATAAATTTAACCAGAAGCACAAAGGATCTTTTCAAAGAAAATTACAAAACTTTACTACAAGAAACAAAAAGAGATCTTGAGAAGTGGAAGAACATCCGTTGCCCATGGATAGGAAGACTCAGTGTTGTGAAAATAGGAATACTACCAAAGGCAATTTACACATTTAATGCAATCCCAACACAAATACCAATCCCATTCTTCAACGAGATGGAAAAGGCAATCTCCAGTTTCGTTTGGAATGGAAAGAAGCCCCAAATAAGCAAAGCACTATTTAAGAATAGAAGAATGGTAGAAGGTATCTCGCTCCCTGATTTCAAATCCTACTACACTGCCATAGTGGTAAAGACAGCATGGTACCGGTACAATGACAGACACATAGATCAATGGAATAGAATTGAGAATCCAGAGATCAGCCCATCTATCTATGGTCAACTGTTTTTTTTGACAAGGAGATGAAATCAGCCAAGTGGGCAAATGACAGCCTTTTTAACAAATGGTGTTGGTAAAGCTGGGAAAGTATCTGCAAAAACTCAAGCAAAACCCACACCTCACTCCATACACAAAAACCAACTCAAGGAGGATCATGAAACTAGGACTAAAACCAAGGACTATAAACTTCATTACAGGGGGGAAAAGTTGCAAATAGAGATACCGTTTGACCCAGCAATTCTACTACTGGAAATATACCCATAAGAGACCATAACTGACATCCAAGCAGATACATGCACACCCATATTTATTGCAGCTTTGTTCACAATAGCAAGGAGTTGGAAACAACCTAAGTGCCCATCAACAAACAAATGGATAGAGAAGCTGTGGT